AATGGTGTACTAGTGAAAATTTATCTCATCTACAATTTTTATGTAGTTATGACGTAATATGACGTCATTATGACGTCATTAATGTGATTTTATTGGCCAAAACCGTCTAAATAGGTTTTTCCCTGAAAACCTCCCTGGTATACAACATAACTTTACCAAAAGTGTTTATGACAGAATATAAGGGTGTACTAAGTCTTATGTTGCCCATAGCAACACCGGTGACGTCATAAAATGACGTCATGCATATTTAAGATATCCGCCATCTTGGATCATCAATCTTGAATTTTCAAAAATATTTTTTTTCTATGATAAAGCCTAAAATACATTGTAAACATACTAAACACCTTCATTCAAACCTTTTTGTAAAAGAAATGGAAGTATTGATGAAATTTTAATGAAAATAACCCGTATATACCTGTTCTAATGATATGGTCCGCCATCTTGGATTTTGGCCAATGACGTCATCAAATTAGCATAAATTATGCATATTTAATGATTAAATTTACATAAAATTATATGGGATGTTATTATTATTAGAAACCATGAGTAACTTGACATAAAACCCATAAAATTCTATTGTTGAAACAAAAAGTACTAAATTTAGCAAAAAATGCCTGTCAGAAACCCGTTGCCATGGCAACACAAAAAATTATTATCTTATTCCAATGATAGAGAATTGTTGCCAACAATATTTTAGGAAAAGTCACCAAGTTTGGTCGTTCTACGGCTAGCCGTTCAGACGCTAGGTGACATCAAAGTTGCCGCGGGTCACCTTTTACGCCCCCCCCCCCGGTCTAGGTAGGGTTAAGGCCCCCAAGGTTACTCACTTGGGCGCAGTAAAATTATAGTAGGGTGCACTTTAGGAACACGACCAACTAATATGTTGAAATTTAGGGTATAACCTGCAAAATGACTGAAAACAAAAAAAGTTATCGTTTTTTAACATTATGACGCCCTCTTTTATTTGGCCCTCTACCGGGGTCAACGGAACTGCAGCCGACTCACCCTGGAAGGCAGTTGCGTAAGACAGGCGCATTTATACACTCAACGAGCAAACTTCAGAATCCTACTCATACGATCGAAAAGTCGACTCATTATACTACCATACGGTAAAGTTCATGCCTCGCTGCCTTTCATTTTAAAATGTATGCAAACGCTACAAGATTTCGTCCGTACTATTTTCTGTACCCTACGTAATAGGGGTCGCGGATAATTACTGTGTCCTGCGACCTTATTGTCTTACCTACCAGTATTTACATTCCTAACAGACCAAATTACTAGCATACAGAAAAACGAAATGTACGTTGAATATACTATACAATGTGTGATTTACACAGAAGTTCACTTGCTTCTGAACTAAAGACTACGCGGAAAAAAAACATCATATGTAAACAACCACACTAAATACTGTGCATATTCCCTGGGGACACGCGATCGTTCTTTTAGTACATGTATTACTAGTCTTCATAGCTGCATTATTTGTGTCATTACGTATCTATAAGAGAACATCCACAGCAAATACTTTGATCAAAATCCCTATCAAGAATTAGAGTCTTTCCCCTGGATATTAAGAAAGTAAAAAAAAAAAAAGAAACGGAAGCTCACCTCAGGTGTAGGATTTCCTTACCAACAAACGTCTTGTCAGTTCTTATTTTCAGATGTCCAAAAACTTGAAGATCCATCAACGAAATGAGTCTTGTAGATATAAATTACGACGAAGAACTAAGTACATAATGTATAACCATGGTGGTATAACATATACTTCGACCAGTCCTTTGCAAACTGTTGTGTTAGTGCAATTTTTCCTTACGTAACATACGGCAGACAACTTGTCAGACCAGTTGGACTTCCTCTAGACTGAGCCCACATCTACATACTGACCTGGGACAAGACGGCCCATTGTAGCCTGGGTGACAGCCTTCTATCGTGAGTGAATCTTCGGCCAGAGCCGCCATATACGCCCCGCTCTAGTCAAGTTGACACCCTGGCTCTAACCCTTGTCCTGCTGGCATTCCTGGCACAATATTTTTCAACAATATCAGGTCTTAATTAGATCATAGACCCCCATTTGTTTTGCCCCGCAGTGGCATAGTTACTTCCGCATTCGTTGCGTTTCGCTGCGGTGTGATGCGTTGCACGAGAAATACCCCCAAACCGTACCTATACAGGGTGCTATATAGATGGTACTGTATGTGCAAAACAACAGGTGTTGTGCGCCACAGGACAAGGGTTTTAATCATCCCCTACCTCGCACGATATTATTAAAAGACTAGGGCGGCAACAATTTCTTGCAATTGGAGCAAACAAGGGTTTCTCCTCTCAGAAATTTATCGCTTTTGAAAAGCCAGGGTCTGGCACTGTGAGGCAAGTCCCTTTCCATTCCTAGGCCTAATGACAACTTTGTTTGTGTCTATTATTTATTTGCACGTACAAAGCAAAGAACGTTTATTGGTAGAAAATGATGAGAAGAATATGGGTGAGTAATGGGAAATCTGCAAGGTTTCTATGGGATTAATTACATAATTTCTCGTGGCCAGTTAGTGCTAATTTTTTTTTACGAATATATGGGAAACTAGAGTTCGATGATCTCATACCTCCATGACATGTGTATTGTTTTCATAAATCTTACGCATGGTGATAACCACCTGTAATTGGCTTACATTTTTCACCGCATATATTCAAATCATATGAGGCCATTTGCATATATTGTATTAATTGATTATACTCTCCAACAAATGACAGGGTTATCTTAAGAAATAAGGCTATTCTAGCGTTTCCTCATAAATTATGCAAATGAGGTCCTGATTGACATAAATTATGTTTAGTGATGTTCACCTTCACTGAACTTCCAATTATGGCAAGTATTAAATTCCCAGCAGTTACCACCATAAATTGTACCAATTTGCCATTTATTATGCAAATTAGGTCTTCCTTTACATAATCGATATCTGCCAATGATCTTGTCGTTCTCACTAACATATGTCTATAGAGTTTTATAGCCCTAATATGAAGTACAGCTGATTTATAGAATTTCCTCATTAATTATGCAAATTAGATCCTGATTTGCATAATTATATTTTGATTATGTCAAGCATCACTTAAGCTACCTACATACCAAAAATCATGATGATCCATCAAACGGTTCTTCAGTTATCCTCTCTCGAAGATTTTCGAAGAAACCACCCTGCAGTTCCAGAACAAGCCGCTAGGGGGACCAAACTCACGTGACTTCTTCCCGAGGACAAGAGCTACCTTCCATCCAAATTTCATGACCCTAGCATGTCCAGATCGCGAGATATCAAAACCGGAAGTTGCGCTGCAGTACCAAGGGAAGCTACTAGGGGGCCCAAAATCTAATCATTTCCAGTTTTCGTCACACCTTACCAACACACCAAGTATGAAACCAATCCATCCAGGCGTTCTTGAGTTATCTTGTTGACCAACAGACGGACAGACGGACAGACGGACGGACAGATAAACGCAACTGAAAATATAACCTCCATGACACATTTCATGGAGGTAATAAGACGAAACAAAACGTATTATCAAAGGCCGTATTCGTGGTCTATCCTGTCGGTAGTTTCCAAATGTTTCGTCCGAAAAGATCTGCAACCAGCAAATTCCATTTCATCGTTTTCGTATTCCCAGAATGCATAGCGCCAGGGGTAGGAAAATTTGCAGGTTGCATAGCGAGCTAATAACGTCATGGTGTCGGAATACGACATACTGTTGGCATTACAGAGCCTGTTTTTCTCTGTCTTTTGAGGTGTTGTAGTATTTTGCTTCAGGTTGAACCTGACAATAAATAAACTGCAAAATCATTTTTTTTTCTAGATAACATGGAGCATGTAGTTTATAAAGTTACTCTCTACAGTGGTAACGTTATACCGCTGAATAGTACAATAATGTTTCAAAATGAATCAACACATGTTTAATTAATATATAAGTATATGAAATTGAGGAAGTTAACTTCATTACATATTTCAGACGTCATAAACTAATATGAAAATACCAAAGAACACATAATTCCAACCCGTTCGCCCTAAGTATCTTTAGAATAGAAAAAATGCACCATTGACTAATCATTCGACGAAAAACGTGGTTTTACGCAGGCGCAGTATGTTCTGTTTCATCCGTGTCACAGGGTTACTTGTAACTCTAGCCGTTTCTGTTGTAATAAAATGAAGTAGTAAAATTAAAGAAATAGTTTCTCTTTTAAAAATTAAGCAAAGATGCAAATAAAGTTGCTTTTATATACATTGCGAATTTCATACATTGCGAAGTTTTGTACGCGCACTTTCCCAAACAAGTGACATAGAAAAACAAAGATTTGATTGTGGTCAGCTACCTTGCGAGACAATGTAGAACTGCAGACAGGAACATTGCACAACTAGGCTGAATACTAAGTACATTTTCCACACAGCTTTCTTGCAGTCATACTTTTCTTCTTGTTCCTTGTCTGCCTCACGATATCACAGGTTTATTACACGAAAAGGAAGAAGACTCAGGCAGATATAACCTAATAGACGAGACGTACCGTCAGACCAATGAGAGTGGCTTCATCTTTGTCACATATTTGCATTTCTATTGTGTTAACGGGGGTAGGCGGGGCTTTAGGTTTGGTTCATCGTACACGGGTCATTGTTACTGGGTGTCTCTATCTTAACCTGAAATGATATTGGCTGGATGCACCAACGGCACACCTAAATGAAGGAATTTCATTTGCCAGATTAGAGCAGCATTCTCTCCTACCATATTAATCGTGATTTATCTGATTGAAGGAATACAGGCAGTTTTAAGGGAAACTAGAAGGAACAACTGACTGTTTGCGCAGTCAGTGCATTGAGTCGCCAATGCAACCCTGAAAAGGTGAGACAATTTTATCTACTTATAGTACACCTTATCATCGAGTTTCGATCAAATAGTGCATATAACCTAGCAGCTGTACAATTACGAATTGACTATCCTTACTTAGGCCCTTATTACCTCGTGGATAAATTACCCCAATGACATATTTAGAGCTTTTATATTTTCTGATCATTTTTATAGTTTTCCAGTGATAGTCACATTACTATCATCTATGCATGTTGATGTTTATCTATAACTAGCAATTAACATATGCCACCAATATGAAATTTCCTATTTGAGATAACAAACTTCATTTCTAGTACAGAGACTATTTATCTATTTGCCGTCAAAACATCATGACCATGGAGTGTCCAGAAAACGAGATTATATAACCAGTACCCACCAGGGGGCCCCAAATAGTAATCATATTCTGCTTTTGTCATACCCTACCAACATACCAAATATGACATACGTCCTGATTAATCATTAGATCACACACACACACACACACACACACACACACACACACACACACACACACACACACACACACACACACACACACATACAACACACAAACAGCCAGACACGCACACACACACATACACACACAGACACACACAAACACAGAGACAGACAGACACACACACAGGCAGACATACACACAAACACACACACACACAGAAACACACGTACAAACAGACACACACACACACACACACATACAGACACACGCACAAACACAGAAACTCACAGAGACACACACACACAGACAGACACACACACACACACACACAGACAGACAGACACACACACACACACAGGCATTCACGCATATAGCTAGTCCTACTAGGTAACAATGATACTTCTGAACAACAAGTGAAACCATGTGAAGTAAAGAATCTTCTTGGTGCGTGAGCTCAGTGAACCTTGGCATTAACATTAATTGGTCATACAAAAGACCATTGACGCACGTATGTTAGGCGTGGCTCACTTCCAATTTTCCTATTGAATAATTTATTACAAAACGTCTCTGACTAAATTCCCCAGAGTAACATTACGTACTCTGTAATGCATTTTTTTTCATTTCAGGGCGAATGTTTGGCATAAAAGAGGGAAGATGTCTAATACCAACATGACCAGCCTGATAAAGAAGCTACAGGAGTTGGACATGTGCCTCAAATGTCAACATATAGAAGAGGTTGGGTATGGATACGCACTGAGAGAAGCTATTATTTCCACGGACTCATTTATGGAGGTAGAAGTCCTAAAAAGTCTTGGAGACCTGCATCTTCAGAAAGGCAAGGTCAGTAAAGATTCAGCAGAGTTTGATAAGGCTACTGCCTTGTATGCCACCGCCCGACGGCGATGCACAGATCCAGACATGGAACAAACACTGGAACATCGTATCGGCTACATGGAGAAACGCTCAAGACGACTGCTAAAGGGATACACCCCAAAGTATCCGTCGCCAGACTACTGGGGCACTGCTGACAGCAATGTCTTACGAGTGGCAGAGATTTGTGACAAATTGGACGGTACAGTTGCTACACCCTGGCACTCTGTTGAGGAAAGCTACCTACAGACATTAGTGAAGGCGATTGGGAACAGCGACATATTTTTGGAACTTGAGGTTCTGAAGTCACTCGGGGATCTCTACCTCAGGAAAGGCATGGACACCTCTGATGTATCCCAGTTCTCCAACGCAACTGCCATGTACAACAAGGCCCTGACAGGATGTAAGGATCCTGAGACAACTTCGACTCTGCAACATCGCATTAGATACACGGACAGGATCAGGGACACAGTAAGGAAGGTACAACTTAACAGATATATTTATTGTGCAACGATTATAATGACGGTACATCATAAGTAGTAGTTTGTACTGTGGAAACCTGTTTCGGCTCATAATAAAGCATTTTTAGATGCATATTCTCACTGTAGTGCACGTAGTAT